TACTATACTATAAAAGTTTCAGGCAAATCAGAGAAGACATTGTTAAAGAATGGAAGGACTCTATTAGTTCTGCAAATGGCGAACACTATGTACCTAAAGGCCCCTTTGACAGCTAAATGCAAAACAAACTAAATAGAGTCACCCACATAAATATATTATGTCCAGTTTAAATGCACCCAGCAGGGTTAATCTCTGAGCGATCCAGCTCAGGGTCACTGTAAGGTCTTCATGTGTTTATCTCTCCTTTGGAAAACGAGGCTAAAATTTGGACCCAAACCAAGCATTCCAATCTCAACAGCGAGCTTCACCAGCTGATTTCCCCACCGCCACCACTGAGTTTCCAGCAGAGAGAGGAGGGACGTATGGGGCGGATCCAGTTTCTCATTGACTATTCCCGTGGTAAATCGAGCCATGCTGCACTGAGTGATCGCTGTTCCCTGCGGCATCAATAATACAGGAGGAAGTTATTGTCCCTGTGCAGGCCACAGTATCATACAGCTAAAGCAAGTGGAGGGAGGGGGTGGTCCTTTCACTCGGCCCTCTAGGGTTTCAGGGCCTGCAGACAGTGGTCTGACTCTGGGGAGCCTGCTCCTCTGCCCTTGCACAGGGCTCGATTGTAAGTCTGGCTGACCGAGGGATAGATGTGTCTAAACAGTGACAGCCTGCACAGTCCTGCTGGCCCGGCCCGGTCGGTAAGACTACACCCCCCACCCCCCTACCAAACCCAGTGTCACAAGATGAGATGACTCCCAGCTCAATAGAGAATTAGTCAGTGGGAGACATCGGACAGCTAGAGAACGGGATAGATATCCTGGGTGTGATTAACATGATCCAGATTTTCACCTTGTTTGAGCATCTAGCTGATTGTTGTGACCTTCCCGTCGCCTCGGGATGCTCCAAAATACTAAACAGTATATTGTACATCCAAATATAAGCAGTGACCTGCAAGACTGAGACACATGCTTTCTGTTTTAAGTGATTATATCAATACATCCGCCTGACGTGTTTATTATCAGTAGAAAAACAGCCGACTAATATACTGATGATCATGAAATATGACGCCATAAATCAACCCAGAGACAAAAAAAAGAAAAAGCAAGTGTGTGCCCAACAGTTAAAACAAGAGAGCGACAGAGGACAGCGGTGGGAGGGGTGCCGAGTGAAAGGTAGAGAAAGTCCGAGCCATGGTGAAATAGAGAGTGTCACTCAGAAGGAGGTCAGCACGGAGAGTGTTGACACCGCTAAGTTTAAGGAGATGCTGGCAAACGGGGATACTTAAGGACATGAATGGATCGTAACCGCTGGTGAGTGCTCAAAGTGTTTTCCTTCCTCCCTACTTCTTGCATCGATCACTGACTGTTATCACTGATGCATCCTGCTATTCTATGATGTCTCTTAGAGCCGGCATTGTGTATTTAACTACTTATTCACATTCATAGCTTCTATTCGGACACTTTTAGCATCACATGCGGAGCTTTAACTGCTGAGTATTATGGCTTGTAAAACTTAATTACATTAGTGATAGCTGTTTCAGTAGCCATGCAGGGAAAGTGGTAAGGTGATGTGGTAGCCAGTCATTAAGGTTTAATATCCCCTCTCTGCTCAGATACTTTACTCCTTGAGTCCATCCCATCACTTAAGATGAAGAAAACACTGCATGCATTTAAACAGAGGTTTGTGTGAAATCAGCAGGAAAAACAGCCCAAAGGGAAAGATGTGACGCCGATGTGTGGCACGCTGGCATGACATGAAGATGGCTGAGAAAGGGTCAGGGATGGCCACGCTTAGATTCACAAGCATCATAGTTTGTGCTGTTTTACTCGGACAAGGAGCCCCTGAGAAGACAGGTGAGTTCTCCACCAGAACAAACGCACTGTTTACAAGTTTACCACAACATGTTGATTATAAAACTCTTTCAGGAGGGAGTAAAGAGGACCAGAGAGAAGCCATTCTGAGGGAGATCATTTCAAGATGGAGTAAAGGAAACGGTCAGAATCCACAGAAACCTCCTCCGGAAACAGACAAGGAGCAGTCTGTGCACACTTGGGTGAGGAACATCGTAGGGAGCCTGAAAACACTCGGTCTACTTCCCGCCAAGAGCCTGCCTTCGCTGAACAAGCCGATTGACAGACACCGTCTCTCTGGCTTCCTCTACAACATCTCTCTGTACCTCCAGGAGATGGGTGCTGAGCTGGAGGAGCTGCCAGAGGAGCCCGATGAGGAGCAGCTGTGGGAGAAGGTGCTGCATTACTTTCTCCAGTCCGAAGGGAGCGCTGCAATGAACCAGTGGAACGGCCGGGTGCCACCCAGGCCCAGTGTCAGGGTGCAGGACTGGTTTCTATCCCTGAGAGGCAGCCCGCACTGGGACTGGCTGCTGGGGCTGCTGCAGAGTCTCATCACTCTGTCAGAGCGTCAGTCCCACAGGAACATCTTGAGTTTCTTATCTCAGAACTGGAGGACAGTGAGCGCTGTGCTGGAGGCTGCGCTTCAGGCTCTGGTCAGTGGGACGTATGGCCAGGCCAGCGCAGGCCTGCAGGGCTTCATCTGCGCTCTGAAGGGTCGTAATGACTGTGCCTTCAGTGTTAGCTGGCTGCAGCAGCTGCTGCAGTTCCTGGAAACACGCAACTGGAAGCCTGTGGTCAGTTTACATCCAGCAGGAGAAGCCGCCGAACACAACAAGGGCACGGGCGGGTATGGACGTTTGAAGCCCTTCAGCTTGCTTCCTGAGGCCATGAGGCAGGATGGGTCGTCTGGGAATGCATCTGTGGACGAAAGGATGGCCACAGAGGACGAGCCAGACTCCATGCAAAGCTTACTGCTGCAGGCTTTATCACGTTCAGGTGGAGGAGAGCGAGCAGGACATTTGGCTCAGAAAAATGTAGCTCTTGTGCAGAGTTTGGATGGGCTGAGGACGGGCCTTCTGCACAGAGTGGGGAGCTCCGTCTACGGTAACCTGAGGAAGAAGGTGTCACGAGTTACCATGGCGCTGCTTGATGACGTCAGCAGCCTGGTGGAGGTGCCCCAGCCCAACCCTCAGGGCCGGTGCTCAGTGGGTGAGTATGAGGAGAAGTTGGGTTAAAATCACAAGAGATAAGAACTCATTAAGTGAAGACAGAAAGTTCAGCCTAAAGAAAAACAATCATCACTCAGTGTTGTCAGAATTGTTTAAACTGCATGTAATTATACACACAATATGATAATAAAACCCGTAGATAATTAGTTCACACAGACATTCAGATGCTTTGCTTCACAGATGCTGATTGATAAACTCTCTAGGTAGAGAAGTAAATCATGCATTGTTTAGATTGATCGCCAGGAAAAGCCCCCATTAAAAGCCTCATAAATTTGGCCCTGACTTCACCTGAGAGATCCAGGAGAGAAAGTGACAGTGACTGACACTGCTTTAAAATCTTTATAATCATCCCAGCTAGTGAAAGCATCTGTTGTTAGCTCGGCTAATCTCTTTATCCTCTCATTGATGTCAGTAACATTATATCTTGGGCATTGTTAGCTGAGCTGCACTGTTACATCAGCTATGGTTGTGTACTGCAGGAGCTTCCAGCTGCTTTTTCCACCACTCATACACTTTGATTTTCAAATAATGTCTGCTTTTCATTGATCTCTTTGAAGGTGACCTGAGACAGCTGATTTTATGGTAAGACATTTTAGGAATATGACTGCATTTTATATGTTTGGCAGTAAGTTGCTGGTAAAGTAGATTTCACCCCTCCGTCTGTCCTTGCACATGCAGGGGGATAAGACATGATGTGATGTGGAACACTCAGGCTTTGGGCGTCAGCTCCCACCGCCTCCCGAGTTCACTCCCGTTCCTGTCCTGCCCCTCCAGTGAAGGAGATGAGCTGAGATCACGACAAACACCAGCTCAGGCCTCTTCAAAATCAAATCCTTCTGCAGAAAAAAACTCCAAAAAGAAACGACTTCACGACGACCAGTCCAGCCACTCACAAACAGGGACGAGAGAGAGCAACAACCAGCAGAAAGAGATGGAGCTCTCCACCTCTACAGAAATCCTGGAGGCAGCGTGTAATGAATCCATCCCAGGCTTGACAGGCGTCTCTAACTTCACTGTATTCCTCTATTGTAAACTGTTTGAAGGGGAGAATGGTTCAGTTGATCCTGCAATTGCTCAGATGGGGCTCGACCTGCATGCTACATGCTCCGATGCAGCTTGGTACCTGTCTGCTGCTGAGGACGACTTCCTTTGGGTTCACGTCTGCAGTGAGTTCTTTGCTCATGAGTTCAACAACACAGTGTGTGCCAACTCCTCTTTCTGGCTGCAGAGAGCACATCAGGTAATGGATCACTTTGTGCATTACTTTTGTCATTAAATAACCTCTAATACATACTAACTCATTCCTATTTCACTATTTGCAGGCTGCACTGACAAAGGATTATCATTTTTTTAACCAAACAAGTATAGACGACCTGTGCGTGCAGCTCTCAGACGAGGCAACGGGAAGTCCAGGGCTCAGTGACAACTGTCTGGCTCAGCTGGGCAGCAGGTCGCTCAGTGCCCAGGCTTTCAGAAACTGCTTCCTTCCAAACAACTCAGTCCTGACCTCATCTCTGTGTGGCAGAGACTCCTCTGACTCACACCGGTCTTTGCCAGAAGGCAGCTGGGCCGCGGCGTACTGCTCCAAGATGCACAACGTCTCCCACGAGGACGCCCCTGTGGAGACTTGTCAGTACAGGGAGTGGACCGTGCATCATTTCACCAACTCCACTCTCCTGCAGCTCTGCGGACAGACACACGGACTGAGAGAGTACGTCTGTCTGAACGCCACGCTCTACCATCAGCTGTTAAGATTAAAGCCTCAGCTCGCTGATGTCTGTGCTGATCTGCAGGCAGAGCAGGAGGCCAGGAAGTGCTTCCTGCAGAGGTTTTTCGACATGCTCCCAGCGCCGTATGAGTTTGACACATCGCAGCTGTGCGTGGACCCGGCCACGCAGCTGGCAGACGTCGTGCACAAGCTGAGCGTGTGTGAGGTCGAGGGAGGAGAGCGCGAGGGTTTTTTAGTGGCTCTGGGATATGTGCTGCGAGTCTTGGACTTCATGGTTGGCCTCTCTTCAGGGCTGGATGAAGGGGAAAGAGAGGCGAGACAAGGTCTGGGTCAGGCCATCCTCCTCTCCAGCCTCCTCGATAACACGTCCTGGTCCACGCTGCAGCCAGAAGCGTCCATGAGCGTCCTTCACACAGTGGGAGTCTTCCTGCGCAGAGAGCAGAACACCAGCCTGAAAGAAGACCTGCTGAGCTGCTTCAGTGTAAGATGTGGTAGCTGACTGACACACAAACACTGTCTCTCACACACACACACTCCCACAGTGAATGAATAACCTGTTTCTGCTGTTGCATCAGCCTGTCCTGTGGGACCTCATCCAGCAGGATGACAACTCATCTGCACTCAGGGTTCTGCTGCAGGTACTGGCCTGTGCAGCTAAATAAATGTTTTACATTTCACAACACATCAGCTTCCTCGACACTAGATTTAGGTGAATCACTTTATCTCTCCAGGAATACCTCCAGATGCCCAGAGACAGCATTCGTACTTTGGTGATGTCTGCTGAAAAAGATGCAGTCAAGAGATTTCTCTCCCATATGCATCAGAGTTGGGACCAGCTTCAAGTAGAAACCAGCCAGGTTTGTTATCCAACTTTTTAGACAGCAGTCAGTGCACTATCAGCTGGTGATGTTTTCTCTTTTTAATGCCGCTAATTGATCGGGTACATAATGGTGAATGATTCCTAGTTATTTTTTATCATTACAAAATGTTCTGTCTCCATCACAATGTAAAATAGTAAAATATAAACATGTTTCTATTGTGTAAACATCTCTTATTAGGGGTTATTGCTTTGTATTGCGTTGAATCTACTTTATTTGAATGCATGTCCTGGCCCATGCATAGTTAAAGAGGGCCAAGCTGAATGCACCGATGGGTTCCCCGTCCTCTTGTTTTGTTTTCTCTGTCAGGCCTCTCAAAAGGAGTTGCAGGCCATGGAAACAATGACCGCGGCTTTCATCCATAAGTTCCCCCGAGTGACCCCAGAGCTGTTCGTGGACCTCTCTCAGTTCATCCCCTTCATGTCCGTCTCCGACATCATGAGCTTTCCGGCCTCACTGATCGTCAACGACAGCGTGTGAGTACCAGACGATCTTATTTCTTGTAAAACGCGCCACTCCTCCGACACCAACAGCTTCCGTGTTGCCCTTTAGGTTGACGGCCATTCGTGACCACAGCTCAGGGATGAAGTCGCCGCAGAAAAAAGCGTTTGTAAAAAGACTCCTGCAGTCGAGCGTGGTGGGGGATGTCCCTACGTGGCCACCGTACTTCCTCAGCTCCATCCTCCCACTTCTGCCTTACCTCCCAGTCAGTCACTTTCAGCAGCTGACATCGCAACAGGTTAGAAAGAAGAACCTCTTTACTTGACTGCTGCGTCATTTCACAGATCGCAGATGTGGTTGAGTGATGAGTAGAGAAATTAATTTGTCCTTCAGCCTGCAAATATATTCTGCCAAAGAAGAAATACCAACCGGGGTTCTCGAGGAGTCCAAGTTCAAACTATTATAAGAAGCAACCAGCATAAGAAAATATGGACGTATTTCTTTTTAAAACATTATTACTTATGTAAATAATGTCATCTGAAAATAATATTTGAATGATTTTGGGGAAGTTATAGTTAATTTGTGATATATACAAATTAGAGCTTTAATCTGAAGTATCAAAACTCCTGCAACACGAAATCTGATCAGCTTTTAGTTGTTGCCCAAAAAAGCACAACACTCATGTGTCCAAAACTGTATTATGGCGATACAGTGCTCCCTACTTAATGACATACCGCTTATAGAATATCTCGTTTATAATCATAAAATACCAAAGTCCAGAATCATTTCCTGTATAACCTACAGCAAAACAGCCCGTTTATTGTCATAGAAAAATGTCATAATCTCAGTTTTTGTCATAACGAAATTCCCCGAAATTGATTCCAGGAGTAACTTTTGCCCGTTTAAAGTCGTGGTCGGTGGATCATTACGACTCACGGGCCGAGCGTCGGTCATGTGTGGCAGATTATCACCCCGGTCAGCCGCGGAAGGCAATGTGTTGGTTTGTTTGTCAATGACCTGCTCACATGAGATCACCTCGAGCTATAAATGCTAAAATATTCCATGAGAGACCCACAGGTGTGATCTCATTCGTTAGAGGAAAGATGCCTTTACTTCCTTGTAAATATGTTTATTGATCTTAAGTAGAAAGTAGGCAGGTTTAACATTTGACCTTTTATACTTTTTTCTAGTTAACACTGAATAAACGTTTAAAACAAGTCTTGTTTTCTTTCCTTAAATGCTTTATTCCCCAAATACATGCTAAATACGTCCGATAAAGGCCACCTAGATCGTGCTAGTCCAGTACATCGGCTAGTTTTCACACTCAAACTCGCCGCCATCTCGAAGCCCATTTATCCCGGATACAGTCATAATTCCATCCTGGACCAAGGGCGCGATAATAAACTGGCAGCACTGTATTTTCTAAACTTATCACAGCCAAACACATCTTGGAGGTCCTCATCGTGATTTGATTGCATGTCACTCATGAGCGCGATGCACTTTTTAGTCTGGTCTTGTACGATGGAACATAGACATTTAATGTTATCACCATGAACCACTTTATCATGGTATTACTAGTATTCACTAGCTTTAGGATTGTGGATCAGTATTTAGGGTCATCAGTTGAGAAAAGGAGGAAATCTGTGTCTGTCTCCTTCAAAATGACTGACAGAGTGTCTCTATTGCCCCTGAAGTGTGTGATATTTTAAATTAGGACCCGTGGAGACATGGACTCAATAAATAGCTCTATAGCTCTATTATTAGCTCTGGCTATTAAAACTGCAAAGGTGGAATTGGATGCTTCTGACTGGGGTCCACAAGGATCCTGATGATGAATAATGATATGAAGTCATAGGGGGGGAAAAAAAGATGAACAAAGTCATGAAAAAATGAAAGGATACAGCGAAAGACTCGTAAGATATGACAAAAAAAAAATCAGCTTTGGGGTCTGCAGACACCCCGGTCGCCAGGATGAGTTAAAAGAATCCCTGAAAAGATGAATGAGGAGAGAGAATGTTCCACAAATGGCACGAGGATCATATGCAGTGACCTTCACATCCATCACATCTTAACTCGGTTAAACCCACATGAGAGATTTTGGATTAAAGAGTCCTCCAGCAGCCTTAATCAAACGCTAACCTCCCCACGACACTTCCTCTTGTTCGTCTTGCAAATTGTCACTCTTTATACAGTGCATAGTGATTTTTGTTTTAGCTTGTTGCACCGTTTAATTTATTGTCTCCTTTAGCTTACTCCTCTGGTGGAGTTGCTAGGCAACAGCAGTCTGGATGGTGTAAGGGGGCGCCATGTGCTTCGGACCCTCTTCGGCAAAAAGAAGAATCTAACCAGTGATAATGTAATGAGGTGGGACTCGGTTATCCGTCTTTATAATTGCAGAGAAGTAAATGTTCACATCATCTGCGGTCACTTTATAACGTTTCTGTTACTTACCAAAGTGGATTACAGCCTTCTTGAATGCTGAATTAATTTCCAGAGAGAGATTTTTTTTACACTCTAGTTAAGTCTTATTTAGTAAATGAAGTCAAGCTGCAGAACTTAACAGCACATATTCATGAAGTGGAGGGTCAGAATGAGCCCACAGCAAATCCTTCAGGGTTTTTTGTTTTTCTTCTTGAGATTCGAGCTTGTGATTGGTTCGTATTAATGAGTCAGAGTTTGTTTAGGTCTTGATTGATGTTGTTTCACCAGATAGGGAAATCACACCTAATCTCTCCTTGTGCTGCAGATGTTATCTCTGCTTTGGTGTTGTTGTTCCTGTTATAATCTTAATTGTTAGCACATTTGCTGCACTTTTAATTAAAATGTCGTGCAAAAAGAAAAAAAAAAAGAAGCTAATTTTTCATCAGAGAGGTGAAGAATGATGTCTTTTGCAGATTAGGAGTCCTTGCGTGCTACCTGGATCCGGCAGACTTGGGTTCGTATCTCCAGGACTCAGCTGTGTCCTCTGATCTGTGGCTGCAGCTGTCTCAGTGCATGTCCAAGGGCTTCATCAGCGCTCGTGGCCGGGTGAGGGGCTCACAGAAACCGCTTTGAAGCACACGGCATACAGTTTCCTTCACAAAGCGTCCAACTAACTCTGTTTATCCGTGCTCCGTGGACAGTTGTCCGACTGGTTGATTCCGACGGTTCAGACCTTGAATGCCAGCAGCATGGCTTCTCCAGAGCTGTCTGCTCTCAGCGGGTTGCTGCCGCAGTTAGGAGCTTCCTTTCTCATGTCTCTGCCTTCACAACAACTCCTGGAAGTCCTGTCACAACCAGGATTACGCAGATATTCCCCAGCACAGGTCAGCAGGGAAGGAGTTTTTCTTTTCCTATTCGGCTTCTTATCTTTCTTTCTTTCTTCTTCCGTTTTCTGTGGAAAAAAAACATGCTTTTTCCTTCAGTCATTGGCTGTTTCTCGTAAATGCTGCATGAAACTGTGATGCATTCACGCTTTTCACAAAAAAAGAAAAGCTAACCTTGACATGTTCTGTCTACAGTTAACTTTCTAAAGAAAAAAAAAGGAAGATAAACATTGATGAAATATGTGACCCATGTTAACTGTCTTAATAAGTGAACTTCTCTGTGTTTTGTATGCAAACATTCTTTCAATACCCTCCTCAGGCATTTCAAATGTTATCCAAGATTTCAAAGGACACCAACGTAAGTAGACGAATGAAAAATGTTTGTGCTGAATTTCAGCCAGCCGCCCTCTCACCGCTCCGTCTCTCTCCTCTGCCAGCTCACCTTGGAAAAGCTGTGCCGACTGAAGCCGTTACACTCTGGTCTCTCCCCTGCTGTGCTCAGAGACCTCCAGTGGCCTGAGATCAGTGGAGCTGCCCACTGTCAGTGCTGGAAAACGCTGCTAACTGAGCTTAAGCCCGGCCACAGAGCCATGCTGTACAACGCAGTGCAGGAGGTGACGCCGCTTTGTTTCTCTCATCTTATTTCTCATAATTTGCTGCGCTCGAAGACGCATCGGAGGTGGAACAGGATTTAACAGTTGATGAGATTTAGCATCTTTCAGATTGTGTCTAAACACACTGGGAATTGTCTCATTAAGAAGAAACAGAAAAACGTAACATTAAACTAATCTGGGGATGTAGAATCCCCACAAGGTGCTCATTTGATCCACACGTGTGAAGCCTGCTTTGTGTGTCTTAATAGGCCTTTAAAGGATTCTAGGTTTAAATTTACAGTGTTTTTATTGTCTGGTTGTGTGTCAACAGGCTCTACAGAGAGAAATGAGGAACATCACTCAGCAGGTAAACTGTCTGTTACCATTTGTCCCTCTGAGGAAGCTGATACAGGCCGTGGATGGCGAAACCGTTTTGAGAAGCATCAGCATGTACGGAGGCATAAGCTGGTCACCACAGCAGGTACGCGTTCTGCTTTATCCTGCCGTCGTGTGTGTTGCCTATAATTGTAATGATATGACAACAATGGACTGCCAGTTCTTTTGCTAAAGAAGAAAATGTTACCAGCTTCGGTTTTCGCTCCCATTAATCTGCAACTCATTGGATATGCTTCAGATGAGCTTTTCAGGATATTAATACTCCATTCACATCAGCTGCCATCAAGCTAATTAGTTTGGATGTAGTACAATGGTGTGGAGGAGTGTAGCATAAATTAATAATGGCTACCTTAAAGGGATTTTGTCACAGCCAAGAGTGTATTAGGCTGCTTTCACCACCTGTTCTCAGCCTAACGAGACCTGAGTCAAATCAATAAAGATCGCCCTTTTCACTTCAGAGCTGCGCTGAATCTACGCTTTCCTGTGACATCGACTATAAGACCAGAAATATTCAAAAACAGAGCCGTGTGTTTTAGCTTTCAGTAGAAACGAGACAATTATCAAAGTGATTAATAGTGAAAAGTTGCTTAAAGCAGCAGCTTCATATTAATTTGCCCGTTAAATTCTGCATCGCTCTGTGTGCACGACTCCAATCTGTGAATATCCAAGAAGCCAAATGTGAGAAACATCAAAATATCAAAAAAGTCTCACAAGTAGTTAGAAAAAATAAAAAAAATTCCTGCCCGACTTAAGTGTTCCACTTGATATCCAAAACATGGCATTTAATCAAAAAAATCTTTTGAGCTTTAAAGGCTCCACAGGCCTGAAAGGTGGCATTTCTGCCTTCACAAAGCAGAGCAGCAGATTAGTCTTATTTTGCATTTTTGGGATTAGGATTCTAAGAGTGAGCGCGTTTTTTCTTACAAAGTAATGAGACAGATGAACCAGAACATCCACAGAACCATCTGTCATGTTTATGTGAAGTGTTGTAGATCCCGCCGTCTGCAGCACAAAGTGTACCGATAGTCTGATAACAAATGGAAATACTATAAAAAAGCATTACGGGCCGGAATGAAAACCAGCTCACAGAGACAGACTGTGTGTAATAATGTGAAGTCATTTACATTCTGTAATTAATAGAAGGACAAAAAAAGAGGAGAAAATAAAACTATAGTTAGTTAGATAGTGAAAGTATCTCCTCACTGGAGAGTCGAACACAGTCTGAAATATAGGTAATAGTCACACGACAATAACACTGTAAATGTAATTATCTCATCTATCAACACAATGCCAATTTGCTCTTGTTTACAGCACGCCACGTAACCAGCCCACTCTGTACCACATACTGGTCTGACTGCGTCTCACTGTCATTCTGCTATAGAGGGAAAAAACTGCTCTGGCTTATTAGTATTTCTGTAAACCACACAGCTCGACAAAGGATGTGGCCACAGTGTTCCTGCAAAATAATGACATGGGAATTGTTTTGGTGGAACAGTTGCCTCCAAGGACTTGAGCACTGTCATTAAAATATCTAATTCGCTGAAAGGAAGAAAAAAAAAAATAGCAGAGCTGCCTCCCTGCACGATCCAAATCCTCTGCACAACTTCAATTTTCCAGTGTTGTGTGCTGCTGCTGCTGCACCAAGGCTGTTGTTGTTGTTGAGTGAAGTGGATTCTGAAAATGGAAACATGTAGATAGCAACATGGGAGCAGAAAACCTTGTGAAATGTGCAGCAAACGGCCGGCTTACACATGTGGAAAGTCGGACTATATCACTGTTTTTGATGTCATTAAGAGCAATTCAGACAGGACACTTTGTCAGATTTTAACCATTTATTTGAGATCACATACGTTTAGTTTGGCGGTGACTCTGCTCGTGATGCTCTGGAACAGTCTGAGCAAGCAGATAATCCCTGAGATCACAAACTCCCACAGAGCCATGAATTTACAATTTACAATTTTTTGAATACAGTATGAACACGAGAACAGGAGACCAACTAATAGTCTTCACTTACAGAATCTAGATTACATAGTTCAAGGTACAATAATGAACCATCTGCTACCTACAGTCCCCACGATATGGGAAACACTGGGGTTATATGAGATTGAATTGTTTTTAAAAGGTGGTGGTTGGGGAGGAGGAGGAGATTTGATGATCTGCAGAGGCTGGAGAAGCAGCGATGTGGTGAAGCGAGCAGAATGAATGAACGCTGCCTCAGTTATAAAACAGCTAAGTGGGTGGGCTGGACTTTAGCGATGACGATTGGACAGGAGGGGTCATGTGACACCCTGACGCCGTGCCTGTCTGAGCTAACGCGAAGCTCTATTAGTTTTTTAAATTTAACACAGAGAACCAAAGGGGAACATGAAAACACTGGCATGATCAGCCCCTTAAAATAACTACAAACTGGTTCAACTTTTGTGATTAGAATGTTCTTCATGGGCTGCAAGGTGGAGCGGTGGTTAGCATCGTTGCCTCGCAGGTCGCTGGTTTGCGTCCCGATGAGGACACCTGGGATCTTTCTGTGTGGAGTCTCCATGTTCTCCCTGTGCAGTGTGGGTTCTCTTCGGGTTCTCCGGCTTCCTCCCACACAGTCCAAAAACATGTTGAGGTTCATTGGTGATTCTAAATTGTCCGTAGGTGTGAATGTGAGTGTGCTTGGTTGTCTGTCTCTAAGTGTAGCCCTGTGATAGACTGGTTACCTGTCCAGGTGTCCACTGCCTTCACCCTGAGTCAGCTGGGATAGACTCCTGCTCCAGAGTGAGGATTAAGTGGTGTATAGATGATGGATGGATGTTCTTCATTTTGCGGTAAGCCACACTCAAAACCACTGACTCCTTCTTCTCTCTGTAGGCTCAGCTGCTGTTCAGTAAGATCCAAGAATTTCAAAACATTACCAGCAAGTCAGTGCGGTAAGTTTGGCCAAAAAAATTTATATTTCTAATTAGTAAACTGAAGTAAAAACTCAACACCAACCGGTACAGCTGCAGTCACAAGGTCAAACACTTAATCAATACATATTGTGAATAACGACCTCTCTTTGACTTGTAGGTCTTTCGGTCAGATTGCCGGCGGGATGAGTTGTGACTTTTTGAGGCTCTGGATCAATGATACAGATTTTACCGAACTGCTTCAGTTTGTTAGCGCGCTGCCTGGAGGCACAAGACCTGCTCTGGTGAGGAACAAACTACCCTCAGGTTCTTTGTCACCTCAGCCTCTGACACGGAGAAAATTAGCGTCTCAGTAAAAAAATTGGACATATATTGTTAATACTAACAAGTTCAGACGTGTTTTGGCTGTTTCACCAGCGAAAATGTATTGTGGAGGATCTGAGGAAACAACCTGACCTCGACCTCAACGCCTTCGGTTCTGGATTTGCTGCAGCGTTACCGTAAATATCTACTTATCAAAAAAATGTTTAACTGTACTTAAATGTTTCACAGCTTATGCTAAAGCGACCACATTCACGCCTCTCCTCTGCTCTGTTCCAGGGTGACAATGTTAGAGAACCTCTCCAACGCATCCTTCAGAGCCATTCTGGACCACATTCAGACCCACTTTGCTGATTTCCTCAAACTGCCGCATTACAAACAGACGAATTTAGCCGAGAAGGCCGTAACCGAGCTGGTAAAACACCATCATCAGCTGTACAAACACTGCATTTACTCCACAAGATGAGCGGGATTGGACACGCTGCAATATGTCTTAGGTGGAAATGTGCGATAGGAACCAGCTGCTGCCGTAATTCATAAACATTATTAAGCTGAAATAGAAAATCCGACATTAACCTTGGGGTTGTTAAAATGATAAAGCGCCACCGTGAGAATTCAGAGCGAACTGGAACTGGGAGATTCTATTTCTGGTTAACTTAAATCATGGCTCGCGTCGGTGATGGTGAGTCATGTGTTTGATTTGTTAACACATTAATGGGGCGGAAAAGAAAAAAAAATACATTTGTTGGTTCAGGCAAGCAGATACGTGGGGAGAAACAGATGGAGGAAGAGACTCAGAACACAACCCCCCGCCTCATCTTTTCAGCAGCTTTTCAAACAAGTGAAGTCATATCAGTGTGAAATCCCGGTAATCCAGACCCATTCTCTCTACGCGGTGCTCCACAGGGCTCTTCTTCGGCTGAGGGGATGATTGATGGCACCGCTCTGGACGTCCTGGGGCCTCTGCTGCCTTTCTTGGACCGGGACAGTTTGGCTCTAGTGGACAGAAGAGCACTGACTCTGCGGCTGGAGGAGATAAGAAGTTTCTGCCTCCCTAAAGAGGCTCTGAGAGATATTAGCGCTCTGCTCACTCAGAGAGACCTGCTCGGGTAAAACAACATGTCTGCGGGAGATGCTGGTTTTGACAGTTGGGTCAATAATACGTCAAGAGGAGATTTATTTAACTGGCTACATGCATTCAAGCAGCAGAAGCGTTGAAAAAGTGATAGATTGTGGAAAAAACACATACTGTTTATAACAAATATATGACATCTATGCATTTGTCTCGTTTAGGTCAGAAACACTAAAACAGAACTCTGCACATCATGATAGCCTGAATACACAAAATACGTCAAGAGATTAGGTTCAGAACGTCTGGTAAATGTGAAAATATAAAGTACATTCACACAACAACAACAGCAAAACAAGCGCTGACAAAAATATTGATGGCATAAAAGGGATTAGCTGCTTTTTAGCCTGCGGTGATTCAATCTGTAATGGCTCGTTTTCTCATCACAAATGTTGACTCAGTGGCTGATAGCTGATCAGAGCGTTAACATTCTGAGAAACGTTCCAGCGACTGCTCTGAGTCGATGGCCCAATCCCAGTTTCTGTACACGTTTCTGCTAAGTACATACTAGCCCACTGTCAAGTTGAGAAGTGGGTGAAGACTTTTTTTTTTTATGCATTCATGCATCCTTCCTGTCAGTCTGCATAGCTGCAGACACTCCCGAGGGAATTGCCCTTAGTTTAGAGCAAAATTGGTGACGTACACAAACCAAGCATGGACGATGCGAGGAAGAAATCCACAAGTTACAGCATGTTGTCTGCACAGGATTTATAGATATCCACGACATCCTGAC